ATGAAGGCCGCCATGGGTAACTCCAGCTCCAATGGCCCCTCTGGTTGTGGGAGAAATTCTTCTCGATAAGGAGGTTGTTCTTGATATGCCCAGGGTTCTGATTGTTCTCCGTAGAAAGGGGGATCAAACATAAAAAAGATCTGAATTTGCATTTGACATCATTCTCCCCTACGTAAAAAGAAGTATACAGCAAGGGTGAATCACAGGAAAAATCTGTAAGGAAATAAAATTAGGCATCCAAATCATACCCAAATTAGAGAGTCCATGGAAGAAGAAGGGAAAGAGATAGTTTGCCTTAGCTGTTGGTTTCATCAGGCTTCAACTAAGGACATTCAGTTCGATTATGGATTCAGCCTCGCGAAAGAGGATTTTGGGGAAAATACAATCGGAAAGCAGCTATCTCAAACTCGGCTTGCCGCCAAGGGAAGAGCCGTAGGTAACAAACAGTAGCCGTCAGGGCTATCACTGCAGTGGAAGGGTGAATCGACCATCGATGAGGGTTTCTGGAAGGGAAACCGAGAGTTGGGCAGCCGCCAGACAATCGTCGATAGGTGGGAGTGAGAAGAAGTCAAAATGTGAGGAGGGGGAGGAGACCTGAGCCGCGGGTGCTTCATACAGAAGCGGTGAAGTGAAAATCTCGAGATCAACTTGGCCAATCGTCAGGCGGTCGACAGAGGAAAATCAAAGTAGAATAGAGAAAGTAACGGAAATTATAGGGGGGGGGGGGGTGCACAATACCTAAGGTGGACCTGCTGACACGCCAAAACACAAGACCAAACTGCGACCAAGTGTAATCGCAATCCGGGAATGCAGTAACAGGCAAGTTCTATTATCAACCCGAGGTCTAGATCTACTGCTTACTCCGTGATTGTCTATTATCTAGCCAACTAATTCGATTGATTGTTGTTTAAAGCAAAAGCAGTAAGAAAGCAGTAAATTGTTCGGTTTTCAAAGTCAGGAAAGATTCACTCGGGATTGAGTCCCCCTAGCCCCTTAGTTAGGTCCAATTGTAATTCCCCTGGGTTGATTCACTGTTGATTAGACTGCGGAAGATCCGACAGTAGCTTGGAATCTCTTAAGCTGACCAAGCCCTCTCAGTCTAACTATCCGGCAGACGACTAGTCTTCACCGGGATAGAAAGCTGAGGCTATGAACATAGAACTCCACTACTGGAATTGAATTCCAGTACAAAGCAGTAAACTGGCTAACTCTCGTATAGCCAATCTCCTACTATCGAATGAAGAGGCTCTAACAACCTAATCAGATTCTATCTATCTCAGGTTGCAGCAGAAATCGAGAAAAGCTGATCAGACTTCAATCAATTCAATAAACATGCATCATTCGATTAAAATCAAACAGTATAATCATCCCAAGTCATTACAATCAAATCCCTAACACAAGGAACTAGGGTTCTTCATACTCAAGTGAGAGAAGGGTTCTACTCCATAGAGAGAGAAGAGAAAACAGTAATCGGAGTAGTCATACTCATAGTGATGAGGAAAATCTGCTCCGGGATGATGATTTCCACTCCTATGACGATCTCCAAGCTCGATTCGATGAAACCCAGCTCCAAGATAGCTTCTAGGATGTGTTCTTCGTACTTTCTCTCTCTAGGGCTCTGTTTTTGCTCTGATAATCCGATTATCCCTCTTTTTGCTCGAAACTGGCTGAAAAACCAGAATTTCCCGACTCTCACGGGCAGGCCACACGGCCGTGTGGCTCACCCAATTGCCCGTGTGAGTCAAAACGCACCGTATCCTTTAGTTCGATCTTCAGGCTTCCCACACGGCCAGGGTCACACGGCCGTGTGAGAATTCCATCTCGCCCGTGTTTGCTATCGGCGAAAATCACACGGCCACCTTGTTCTCTTGCACGGCCGTGTGAAAGTTACTTGTGCCCGTGTTTGCTCTCGCACAATCCCACACGGCTTGGTTTGTCAGTTGCACGGCCGTGTGGTCTTTGTGTGTGACCGTGCAGCTTCCTTAGCACCTCGCCACGCATCCGATCTTCGTCCAATCGACCCCAAACTCGCTCCCAAGCCTCCATTCACGTACTATGACCTGAAATATCACCAATAAGCACAACCTAGCGTGAAATCGGCCTAAAACACGAGAATCAACACCTCAAACGGTGTAAGAACGGGGGTAAAAACATGTGTAATTAACGGTCTATCAAACTCCCCCACACTTAACCGTTTGCTTGTCCCCAAGCAAACCAAGTCAGACACCAGGTAAGCTTACATATTTCAATCAACCAACATTGGGGACAAGTCATAAAGGCAAAGAACACATGAATCGTACTGGTTTTCAAGCATCAACACATGAACAACCTCAATAGCAACCTGGACAACCACCACAAAGGACATTCGAGTGCAGCAAAATCGAGTAAAGGAAGAGTCTCCCTTCTGTTCACCATCCAACCTAGACTTGACTCAACCACTTACTCAAAACAGTCAACTCATGCATCCAACTCAAGACATCAGAATAGAGACCAAGCAATCTAGGTCCTCACCGGGGTACAAGAGTATATAGAATATGAAAATGAATCACTCACTCTCGACCAGTGGGGTCAGGACAATTGGATGCGAAAAATGCGCATGCTATTTCTCTCAATCCCTAACATCTCTTCACCATGATGGCAGCCTCTAAATGCTAGAGTTTACATATAGGATGTCATCACTAACTAATCAGGAGGTCTTAGACACAGGTTCAAATGACTGGCTAGGGTCTTGGACATGGGGAAATAGCCTTTTAGGTGGTGGAAGTATTCATAGCACAAGGTTCCACATTTCCAAACCCACACAATCACAATCAAACAAACCAGTATTCCCTTTCTGCTATTCTGCAATACTCAATATCTCAAGAGCACAAGAGCGAAGGAGGTATAAACATCAGCATTTCCAAGCCAGACTGCTAAGAAACACTACTTAAAGGGCATTCTTCAGATTTTTGGTAGTGGCTCTCTTTTGCTTTCAATTTTTCTTTGTTTTTCTTTCATTTTTCTTTTCATTTCTTAAGAGAGCCACCACTTCTGCACATATTTCAAACATCTGCCCAACTTTTAAGCACTAACTCCAAAACTCACATTCAATTTAGCAGAAACAGCAGAGAATCTGTAAAAACCACTCTGTGGAACCTTCTAAAAGATGCAAAAGGGTGATTTTTCGTTATAGACAAAAAAGAAAGGATAACACATGGCTCAAAGGGGCTGACTAGAGGGTATGACACATCAGGACAGTCAACTTTGGTCGTGGGCTAATCCTACGCCCCCATCATCTTAGCTAGTGACAACGTGAATGCTACACATCATGGAAGAGGGATCTATCGCACAAGAAATAAACGAGCAGGCTCAAATCTCACATGGCTACCTATATGCTCTATCTCACATTCTGATACCCTGAACTAGATGCATAAACGACTGTCAAGAACAAGTGTTCGATCCAAGTCACGGTTAATGAGCAAACAGTTGAAAAACTGAACCCCTACACAATTCTACTGCACGTCTCAGTCCTCATCATAGGTTGTCCTAGTCAAAATCAAGCTGTCATGCATCAATCCGAAAACCATTCAATTCATCAATCAAAACACAGTGCCAATATGATCAAACAGCAGTACTTGGAGCCCTCAAATCGTAAGATTCGGACAGCGGACTAGGCTCCAAGCACCCAAATATATATTCCAACCGATACAAAGCACCCCCCCACACTCAAGCACAACATTGCCCTCAATGGAGTAGAGGGAGAGATAAGGGGAACGATGTTACCGGATTGAAACACTGCTGGGGGACTGGAAGTGGACCAGTCAGCGAGAAACAAACGGGAGAATGGACAGTTCTGCACGAATCGAACACCAAAAACACACTAGCACACTGTGCGTTAGGGATAAGTGTTAGCCCAGACGGCTACATCATAAACAAACCACAAAAGAAAAAAGAAAAAGAAAAACAAACGACACTAAGTTCAAGCTCCGCACACATGGAGCAAACACACAAAAGTCTAAAACGAAAAGCAAAACACACTGAGATGGGCAACGAGTACAGCCTACTCGTCGCCAAGATCATCCAAGTCGATGTCGGCCATGAAGGCGTCATCATCAGCAGCACCATCATCACCATCAGCTGGGGCATGTAGAAGTGGAGAGTCCTCCCAGGGAGTCCTCCAGACGGGCTGCTCGCCCGGGAGCAGCTAGAGCAGGTCCTGCTGGACCTCCTGCATGCGCCGTGAACGGCGCTTCTCCCGCTCGATGTGGGCGAGAGTCACTCCCTGCTGGGTCTGGAGGATGTCCAGGCGCTCATCATAAGCAGCCATCCTGTTCCGGTACTCGGCCTGGTGTTCCGCGTACTGCTGATGGAACTGCATCTGCTGGTCGAGGATCTGCTGGTTCTGGATCTGCAGCTGCTCGAACTGGTAGGAGAAGTAATCCTGGCCCTGGAAGGCGGAGCTGCCACTGCCGTACTCGAAGGTGGTGGGCGGGGGTCAGCAGAAGCATCTTCCTCCTCGGGCTCCACGTCATCAGCAGCCTCCTCCTCCTGGCCCTCTGGCTGGGTCTCCGCGGGGATCTGAGGTTCTGGAAACCCCTCGACCCATAGGATGCCGCGGTTCTCTCGCAGCAGGTGCATGTGACTGATCGTCTTCCTGCCAAAGACGAGGGTGTCCCCCTGCTGTGTACACCCCTGCAAGGAGAGCCCGAAGCAGGTGGCAACGCGGGTGATGAGAGGGGCGTAGTGGAGGCTCTTCAGTTCCGAAGCACTCTTCTCAAAGGTCCTGGCCACCACCGATCCCAAGTGGAGAGGATGGTCGTACTGGCGCATCGAAGCGATGAAGTACATGGCCCTCTTGGTGATGGCGCTGGCACTATCGGACGCTGTGGAGTAGGACTTCGCCAGCAGGTGGTGGAGAAGGCGTTGTCGAGCAGCAGGGTAGTGGCCTTCGTCCTCCCAGCCGAGAAGGGTTTCGTCTGGCCTGGCTTAGCCAGGCGGGTGTACAGCCTCATGAAGTCCACCTCCGGCGGGTCGTTGACCTCGGTGATGTAGTCCGCACCGTCATCCAGGTCGAGGTCGAGAGCCTCGGCCAGCTCATGGTAGCTCATCGACCGGGGGGCACCGCCTAGCCTGAATCTGACGGCTGTACCGTCTTTCCAATCGGTCGTCGGTGTGTGCCTGAAGGTCGTGTAGAACTCCAGGACGGGCTCGTAGTAGACCTTCTCGCAGATGGTGAGCAGACGGCGCCATGTGCGGTTGGTGAGGGCGGCGGAGAGTTGCTCGTAGCAGTTCAATCTCCGAAACTTCCGTTTGGACCAGCAATGGTGCTGTCCAAACGGGCATGCCAGGACCTGCTTGAAGCGATCCTCGTCGGGGCCCCTTTTCAGATCCCGGATGAACGGGTGCTTGAGGTCAGGTTTCGACATTGTCCTGCAAAAGAAAAACCCAAAGTGGAACCAAAAGAGCCAAAGAAAAGGTCAAGCACACCCCCACACTTAAGAACAGAAAAACAGCCTAACCATGGTTTCATCCATAGTTCGGGGGTCAAAAACTCGATAAATCAAGCATAATCTGAGTGGGGGTGCACATTCACGAGAAAATAGGCAACTTAAGGTTCACATCCATAGCAAATACACCCTCAAACTACATCATTAAGGGCCCCAACCGATGGCCACAACATGGCATGAAAAACAGGCATTTCATCGAACACCTTGTGTGCACTATTAAGTTAAGCATGAAATTGGCAAAATTCTTGCACACAAGGGATCAAACAATCAAGGGGGACATTGCCCAACACAATTCAAACACATTCCATGCATTCCCCTCAATCAATTGCACAAAAATCACAAGATTCAATAAGGTTCTCTAAACATACACCCTACACACCCAATTCTCCACAATTAACATAGTTAAGGGCAAAATCAAACCTGGAGACTCAAGTAGAGGTGTAGGGGATGATGAGGGGAAGGCGATGGAAGCGACGAAACGCCGAAAAAGTGGCCGGAAGTGCTCGTTGGAGCCTCGCCGGAGTCTCGCCGGAAATCGCCTCCGGCGACAAAAACGTCGGCCAAATCTCCTCAAAATGGAGGGATAGGCCGCGGATGATGTGGGAAGGATGGGTTTAATGTTGGTTTGGTGAAAAAATGACAAAAATGGCCGGAAAAATCAAAATAAGGTGGTTTGTCGCGGTTTTCCGGCCAGATTCAGAGGATTCCGGCGAGGGATGGGAAAATTTCTGACCACTCGGCCGTGCTGGCCGAATATATAGGCCGTGCTTGGCCGCACGGGCAACACCAAACCTCGCACGGCCGCCAGAGGAAACCCTTCTCGGCTGGGAGGACGAGGCCACTACCCTGCTGCTCGACAACCGCCTTCTCCACCACCTGCTGGCGAAGTCCTACACCCCAGCGTCCGATAGTGCCAGCGCCATCACCAAGAGGGCCATGTACTTCATCGCTTCGATGCGCCTGTACGACCATCCTCTCCACTTGGATCAGTGGTGGCCAGGACCTTTGAGAAGACTGCTTCGGAACTGAAAAGCCTCCACTGCGCCCCTCTCATCACCCGCCTTGCCACCTACTTCGGGCTCTCCTTGTAGGGGTGTACACAGCAGGGGGACACCCTCGTCTTTGGCAGGAAGACGATCAGTCACATGCACCTGCTGCGAGAGAACCGCGGCATCCTATGGGTCGAGGGGTTTCCAGAACCTCAGATCCCCGCGGAGACCCAGCCAGAGGGCCAGGAGGAGGAGGCTGCTGATGACGTGGAGCCCGAGGAGGTAGATGCTTGTGCTGACCCTCGCCCACCACCTTCGAGTACGGCGGTGGCAGCTCCGCCTTCCCGGGCCAGGATTACTTCTCCTACCAGTTCGAGCAGCTGCAGATCCAGAACCAACAGATCCTCGACCAGCAGATGCAGTTCCATCAGCAGTACGCGGAACACCAGGCCGAGTACCGTAACAGGATGGCTGCTTATGATGAGCGCCTGGACATCCTCCAGACCCAGCAGGGAGTGACTCTCGCCCACATCGAGCGGGAGAAGCGTCGTTCACGGCGCATGCAGGAGGTCCAGCAGCACCTGCTCCAGCTGCTCCCGGGTGAGCAGCCCGTCTGGAGGACTCCCTGGGAGGACTCTCCACTTCCACATGCCCCAGCTGATGGTGATGATGGTGCTGATGGAGCTGCTGATGATGACGCCTTCATGGCCGACATCGACTTGGATGATCTTGGCGACGAGTAGGCTGTACTCGTTGCCCATCTCAGTGTGTTTTGCTTTTCGTTTTAGACTTTTGTGTGTTTGCTCCATGTGTGCGGAGCTTGAACTTAGTGTCGTTTGTTTTTCTTTTTCTTTTTTCTTTTGTGGTTTGTTTATGATGTAGCCGTCTGGGCTAACACTTATCCCTAACGCACAGTGTGCTAGTGTGTTTTTGGTGTTCGATTCGTGCAGAACTGTCCATTCTCCCGTTTGTTTCTCGCTGACTGGTCCACTTCCAGTCCCCCAGCAGTGTTTCAATCCGGTAACATCGTTCCCCTTATCTCTCCCTCTACTCCATTGAGGGCAATGTCGTGCTTGAGTGTGGGGGGGTGCTTTGTATCGGTTGGAATATATATTTGGGTGCTTGGAGCCTAGTCCGCTGTCCGAATCTTACGATTTGAGGGCTCCAAGTACTGCTGTTTGATCATATTGGCACTGTGTTTTGATTGATGAATTGAATGGTTTTCGGATTGATGCATGACAGCTTGATTTTGACTAGGACAACCTATGATGAGGACTGAGACGTGCAGTAGAATTGTGTAGGGGTTCAGTTTTTCAACTGTTTGCTCGCCAACTGTGACTTGGATTGATCACTTGTTTTTTACAGTCGTTTATGCATCTAGTTCAGGGTATCAGAATGTGAGATAGAGCATATAGGTAGCCATGTGAGATTTGAGCCTGCTCGTTTCTTTCTTGTGCGATAGATCCCTCTTCCATGATGTGTAGCATTCACGTTGTCACTAGCTAAGATGATGGGGGCGTAGGATTAGCCCACGACCAAAATTGACTGTCCTGATGTGTCATACCCTCTAGTCAGCCCCTTTGAGCTGTGTGTTATCCTTTCTTTTTGGTCTATAATGAAAAATCACCCTTTTGCATCTTTTAGAAGGTTTCACAGAGTGGTTTTTACAGATTCTCTGCTGTTTCTGCTAAATTGAATGTGAGTGTTGGAAGTAGTGCTTAAAAGTTGGGCAGATGTTTGAAATATGTGCAGAAGTGGTGGCTCTCTTAAGAAATGAAAAGAAAAATGAAAGAAAAACAAAGAAAAATTGAAAGCAAAAGAGAGCCACTACAAAAAATCTGAAGAATGCCCTTTAAGTAGTGTTTCTTAGCAGTCTGGCTTGGAAATGCTGATGTTTATACCTCCTTCGCTCTTGTGCTCTTGAGATATTGAGTATTGCAGAATAGCAGAAAGGGAATACTGGTTTGTTTGATTGTGATTGTGTGGGTTTGGAAATGTGGAACCTTGTGCTATGAATACTTCCACCACCTAAAAGGCTATTTCCCCATGTCCAAGACCCTAGGCAGTCATTTGAACCTGTGTCTAAGACCTCCTGATTAGTTAGTGATGACATCCTATATGTGAACTCTAGCATTTAGAGGCTGCCATCATGGTGAAGAGATGTTAGGGATTGAGAGAAATAGCATGCGCATTTTTCGCATCAAATTGTCCTGACCCCACTGGTCGAGAGTGAGTGATTCATTTTCATATTCTATATACTCTTGTACCCCGGTGAGGACCTAGATTGCTTGGTCTCTATTCTGATGTCTTGAGTTGGATGCATGAGTTGACTGTTTTGAGTAAGTGGTTGAGTCAAGTCTAGGTTGGATGGTGAACAGAAGGGAGACTCTTCCTTTACTCGATTTTGCTGCACTCGAATGTCCTTTGTGGTGGTTGTCCAGGTTGCTATTGAGGTTGTTCATGTGTTGATGCTTGAAAACCAGTACGATTCATGTGTTCTGTGCCTTTATGACTTGTCCCCAATGTTGGTTGATTGAAATATGTAAGCTTACCTGGTGTCTGACTTGGTTTGCTTGGGGACAAGCAAACGGTTAAGTGTGGAGGAGTTTGATAGACCGTTATTTACACATGTTTTTACCCCCGTTCTTACACCGTTTGAGGTGTTGATTCTCGTGTTTTAGGCCGATTTCACGCTAGGTTGTGCTTGTTGGTGATATTTCAGGTCCTAGTACGTGAATGGAGGCTTGGGAGCGAGTTTGGGGTCGATTGGACGAAGATCGGACGCGTGGCGAGGTGCTAAGGAAGCTGCACGGTCACACACAAAGACCACACGGCCGTGCAACTGACAAACCAAGCCGTGTGGGATTGTGCGAGAGCAAACACGGGCACAAGTAACTTTCACACGGCCGTGCAAGAGAACAAGGTGGCCGTGTGATTTTCGCCGAGAGAAAACACGGGCGAGATGGAATTCTCACACGGCCGTGCGACCCTGGCCGTGTGGGAAGCCTGAAGATCGAACTAAAGGATACGGTGCGTTTTGACTCACACGGGCAATTGGGTGAGCCACACGGCCATGTGGCCTGCCCGTGTGAGTCGGGAAATTCTGGTTTTTCAGCCAGTTTCGAGCAAAAAGAGGGAGAATCGGATTTTCAGAGCAAAAACAGAGCCCTAGAGAGAGAAAGTACGAAGAACACATCCTAGAAGCTATCTTGGAGCTGGGTTTCATCGAATCGAGCTTGGAGATCGTCATAGGAGTGGAAATCATCATCCCGGAGCAGATTTTCCTCATCACTATGAGTATGACTACTCCGATTACTGTTTTCTCTTCTCTCTCTATGGAGTAGAACCCTTCTCTCACTTGAGTATGAAGAACCCTAGTTCCTTGTGTTAGGGATTTGATTGTAATGACTTGGGATGATTATACTGTTTGATTTTAATCGAATGATGCATGTTTATTGAATTGATTGAAGTCTGATCAGCTTTTCTCGATTTCTGCTGCAACCTGAGATAGATAGAATCTGATTAAGTTGTTAGAGCCTCTTCATTCGATAGTAGGAGATTGGCTATACGAGAGTTAGCCAGTTTACTGCTTTGTACTGGAATTCAATTCCAGTAGTGGAGTTATGTGTTAATAGCCTCAGCTTTCTATCCCGGTGAAGACTAGTCGTCTGCCGGATAGTTAGACTGAGAGGGCTTGGTCAGCTTAAGAGATTCCAAGCTACTGTCAGATCTAGCGCAGTCTAATCAACAGTGAATCAACCCAGGGGA